GATTAGTTAAATTTTATGACAGTAGTATATGTTTGATGGTTTTTTTAATAATAATAATAATAACTTTTCTATTCAAATTTATCAATTATTAGGTACAAGAGAATCTGGAAAAATATCAATCTCTATATGATATTGTCTTGGTAAATGATGATAGTTTTGAAATTCCTTACAAAATTATCCAAAGTATTCTTATACATAATAAATAACAATAAGCCAAAGATACATACATACACATGATTATTTGTATCCCTACTATGATTTTTTTTAATGGAATCCATCTCATTTCATCAGAGGAATACATTATTTTGTAATTTAGTCAAAATATTGAATAAAAGGATGTTTTTTTCTCATTATTTAATTATTTTCTATAGAATTATTGTTTAATTATCCTTAAATTGTATATCCCTTTTTCCTAATTTCAATTTTCCCCTTCAATACATACATAGATACACATACTAATTGATAGATAGACAGACAGGTTGTGGTACATGTATTCAATCGTGATCTTCAAAATTGTCAATCAATATTTGATTACAATTAAGAGTTATAATCACTATAGTTTTCTTTCTCTATTTTTTTGTTTTTCATTCTTGTTAACAGTTCTAATTTGTTTATAGTTCACTCCGTCCACCCTTACCTCCTTTACCACCCGTTTTTTTCGTACCCCTTTCTTCATAAAACCAAGAGAGAGAGAGAAAAAAAATTCACTATGTTGCAACTTTTGAATAAAGAATATTCTACGTAACAATTTTAAAAGGAACGATAAAATTAGTTTTCTGTCATTTGTTTCTATAGTGATAAACATATTTTTCTTAAAAGAATGCCAGTACCCAATTTCACTCTTTTCTATTATTTATTGATTTTTATTCAGTGATATTTCATCTTTTTACTTTTCGTATTAAATTGAGCATGTTTACCCTAACTGTGTTTGTATTTATTGTGTTTGGTTCTCTTGTTCTTTTTTTTTATGTGAAAAGAAATGACTGAAACCACCAATTGAAATATATATTCATATTTAATTAACATTGTCAACATTTTCATACAGGAAAGATAGTAATAGAATATAAGTGAATGGAAATATGATGAATCCCATGTACTAGGATTCCGAGGCATTTCTCGTATATCTTGAGACCACTGAGTAAGTAATGCAGTTGTTACGAAATGGGTACTAGATAAAGATGGCAAATCAATTGATAAAGTAGTGAAACTTCATCAGTTGAGATGGACCGGACACGTGTTACGTATGCCCAACCACCGACGTGCGATGTTTTATGGTGTAGGTGGGTAGGCTGGAAGAAAACTAGGAGCGGCCAGATGAAAACATGGCACGAATCTATGAAGTCACTGACAAGTGGACTGAACCATGTTGGTAGGTGTAGACTACCTGGTTGCGATCCACGAGATGATAGCAACCGATGATTACAGACCTTGAATGACATGGCTCAAAATCGTTTGCAATGGCGCAGGTGCATCCACTCTTTGTGTTCTACCAAATTCTAATCTTCCGAATTCTTCATGTCCCTTTCCTTTTTCTCTTTCCAAATTTATTTCACTGGATTATATTCCTTGAATAACAACTTCAAACCCTAATGTTTCCGATTATTGCCTATACTTTTACTACCTCTACTACTACAGGATTTGAATCGATAATTGTATCTGTGTGCTAATGTGTTATGGTAACTCGAACTGATGTACGTACGTACACCACGTCAAGGTAGCAACAACGGTCGGGGCTAACCAGAAAAAATTTATTTAAATCATTTAAATTCTGCCTGGGAGTTAGAAGGTCTTTTTGTGGCCCGTGGATCTGACTCCATTTAGATCGTACGAATGTTTGCTATCGCTTATTCTCGTATATCATCATCGACTTTAATCACGTTAGTCAATGACGGAATTAAATAAGTCAAATAACGAGAATGAACTTTGGATTACATATATTTTGTATATGAGGTGAATGGAATAGAAGGAAGAGAAGCGACGCAGAGTGGAGATGGCTGGTAAGCCAACTCCATTTTAGTCAAGAGTTACTCAATATTTATAGGCAGACAAAATAAACTACAGACATGTGATGAGAGTCATGGGATATGATGTGTACACACATATAGGCTCATATAAAAACAGTCAAGACTGATAAGCGAATAATTAACAAGGTCAAAATATGACTCAAGTAGAATTAATAGAATGGAATGTCCGAAAGCTAGAATAAGATATATGGGCTTAAAATAATGACTGACACTACAGTCTTCATTTAGGAGAGTTATGACGCCTCATGGTGAAAGCCGAGTTCCGAGGAAGTCACGACGCTGATGCCCCTTCTGACAACCAAAGCAACCATTTATTTAGGTCCATGGAATGCTCGTACAATGTGGGAGAGTCTTACAAGTTGCTTCAGAATTAGTATAGTAGATCATGGTAATATGACAGAAGTTAACAATTTTAAACTTATTGAGATTCTAACCTATCTTGCTTGCTGTGGAATCTAAAAATCTACAGTGTAATCCACAATGAGATCATGCAGATGTAAATTATCAAAAAAGTCTTATACTACTACAAAGTAACTGCTGTAATCTTCTGTTCCTTAATTCATACCCAGTTTGTAGAAATTTCATCATTGTAATTCTAAATTTGCACTTTAGTTTAGTGTGACCTTTGTAAAACATATTCACATGGTCTCTATACATGTAAATGTTTTTCAAAGGCAACATGACAATATTATAAATAACCGTTTTTATTTAAGAATTCATAAAGTTGAAAGATCACGATTATTTATCACATTATGTAATAGGTTTGAACATATTATCCTGGTTAACTTTATAACGATACGTAAATATTTGATTGAAGTATATTGAACAAAAGAAATCCAATGTAACCACTGTCATGTAACATAACATTATGATCCGATATAGTTGATATTATGTATGCTTGATTCGATTATTAGAAAGTTATAAGTATCTGTTTCATCTTTGTTAATAGTTATAAGCAAAAATAGATAGTGGCCAGCAGTCGAACCCGGGACGCGCGCTTCGTCTTATTTGGGACTCGTCAGCCGGATGTATCTGCATCGCGGAGTTGACGTTCACTTTGGGACTTGAACTCATTACCATCCGCTTCAAACGCCATCGCGTTATCCACTTAGCTACAGAGTCGTGATAGGCATTTGCTTGTGTAATGGGGTGAAGTTTAATTCACTTGGTATTGTTTTTTTTTAAAATCTTACCATTGATGTATAGGACTGCAATTGATCGGTCTCTTATTGGCATATGTGCATACTGTGCGTATTGCCTCGATGTTGCCTTAATTCGAGTCCCTGAGTGAACATCAACTCTGAGATGCAGGTACATTCAGCTGACGAATCACAAATAGGACGAAACGCGCGTTCAACTGGATTCCACTTCTAGCCACTATCCATCTTTGCTTATAATGCTTGTGAACTAAAGCAATATCGAGTCACTCCTCACAGGATGTACATGTGCCAATAAGAGACTGATCAATTGGAAGATTGAAGTAAAACAATACCAAGTAAATTAGTTAATAGTTATTAGAAAAATTTATTTAAATTGTTTTCGCGGAATACATACTGTTTAAATACTAATTACAAATAACAGTAACATTTGAATCCTGACCAGATTAATATAATGAAAGTGACATTAATAGTAGTAATAGTTTTATTGTGTTGAAGAGTTAATTGATCCAAAATAAAGTCGATCTACTTGAATATGTGGGCTACCTGTTTCTGTCATTTCAATATTTCAACAACTTATTTGTCTTTTGTTTACTTCAATATATCATTAGGTCAATTGATTGTACAATATATTTAGGTGCGTTTGTGAAAAGTTCACAACTTTTCACTGTGCAACTTACAAAAGTACCTAATCAGAGACATTGTGGTTGTTGGCTATATCCATCGAAATGAATGTACGTTATTCGGATGTCAATTCCTGAACTACTGATATCTAACTGGCAACCACTCAATATTGATCACGAAGACCGATTAAGAAATAAGAAACGGAAACTTGTTGAAATACTTTGTGCTGAGAATTCTATATTATCACAGGTTGAAATCATGAGTCAATTCAAGCTAGACCACCCTGGAAGCTGGACTCATGATTTCAACCTGTGAAATTTCCAAAAATCTCCACAAAACCCATCCTGATAATAATCAACCGTTCACTAGTGACTGACTTCAGGAGATACTTCTGGAGTTCTAGTGAGAAGCCGTTATCAGTGGAGTTTAATCAGGTCTGTTGTGAGATATCAGCTCATTGAAGACAGTGGTGTACGGTGGCGCAACTTCGTGGATTGGTTGAAGTTAGACATCAACACCGTTGGATGCCGGCCGGCTCAGTGGTCTAGTGGTTAAGTGATCGCGTGCGAAACCAGCAAATCCTGGGTTCGAATCCCGCGGGGTATGGGATCGTGGATGCGCGCTGCTGAGGAGTCCCATACTAGGACGAAGCGGCCGTCCAATGCTTCCAGGTTTCCCATGGTGGTCTAGCTTGAATTGACTCGTGATTTCAACTTGTGAAATTTCTAAAATCTCCACAAAACCCATTCTGATAATTCTATATTATACTAAACCATACTATTGAATAAAGCTAATAATAATAATAATGACCGATAGATGAAGAAAAAACAAGGTAAGATATTTACATATTATCAAAAATAATGTAAATTAGTAGCTTTTTAGCGAATAAGAACACGAGTGAGGACAATCCAATATGTCCGAATGTAAAATTACAGAACATCATACTCAAATCTGAGAATCATGCAGTAAATACTTCATTTGCAAAACATCAGTCAATTTTCTCAAACTTGATTATTCCTTCCACTGATATCAGTTTGTCGTCTCAGATTTCATTGTTTCTGCCTTTGTCATAACAATCCTCGTCCGTTCTCAATCGTTCCTTTTCAATCTTCTACTGAAATACATTCTGTACATACTAACTATCACTATATACTACTTATATAGATATAAGTATATAAGTAGTTCATTGCATAGTTTAATAAATATATTTGACTTTTAATAAAATAAATAAAGGAATTAAGATAAAATTGACTAATGAAGATAACCAGAATATTCTAGAATATAATTTTTTGAAATATAATAATTGTATAGATTTTGTTGGTCTATAAACAGCACAATCTAATGGTGATAAATAATTATGAATATTGATAGATTTATGATAAGTTTTTGTGAATAAAATAAATTTATATGTTGTATTCCATTGTTTTAATCCATTCACTTTAGATATAGATTGACTTGGATTATTTGTATATGAATTGCATGGGGAATTAGTAAATCCAATCTAGAAATATACAAGATTAAGTTATGGATACTATAAAAAGAAAGTCAGTTAGTAACAACGTAGAACTTTCATAATTGATTGATCACTGGGTGACGATCAATGTCATGCATGTCTAGTCCTTATTAATGCACCTTGCTGACGAGTGTCAAGTAGCACGAAACCCGTGTTCAGGGTTTCGTGTCGACTACCTACAACTACCATCTAATCTCAACGTAGAACTTGGTACGTACGCACATCAGTTCGAATTGCCATACCATATTAGCATACAAATACTATACAAAAGTGAACATGTATATTATGTGAGTAATGAATTATGAAATAATATTATAACTTTGGTTGTATTACTATTATATGAAGTTTCTGACAGAATAAATTTCGTTGTCCTTTAAACCATTGAAATTACTACAATATCCATAAAAACCCATTTCCGATAGTAATCAGCATATGCTCATTATTTACTAGCTTCAAGACGTATTTCCTGGAGTTCTATTGAGAAGTAGTGATCAGTGGAGTTCAACCGGGTCTGTTATCAGATAGTAACTCACTGAAGACACTGGTGGATGTGTGGTTCAATTTCGTGGATTGGTTGAAGTAGGATTCCGGCTGGCTAAGTGGTCTAGAAGTTAAGCGTTCACGTGAGAGACTGATAGATCCTGGGTTCAAATCTTGAGAAGCGGGATTGTGAATACACACTGCTGAGGAGTCACACAACAGAATGAAACGGCCGTACAGTGCTTTGAGGTTTTCCATAGTGGTCTAGTTTCAATTGACTCATGAATTCAACCATTAAAATGTAAAATCATTTTAAAAAATCACCCATATTAGCTATAGTGTTCTCTATCATGAGGAAAGGTTATTGACTTGTAAAGAGTTTTACAATCTAAGATTAAGTTTTTGTAGTTCATGTCTTTACACTGCTTAAAATCTAACACGGTTAGAAATAAATTAAAAGAAATTATTTTCAATATTATAAACCAAATCTTATCCTAGTGCAAATTAGTTTACTGCATTGGTTAAATTTTATAACATTTAACAATAAATATATCGTATTCTCCGCAAACGTTTGTAGTTATCGTCACTCAATACCTTAGTAGATAACTTGCTAGCGTTCGAAGTAATGGGTACTAACTTCTAATCTCTGTGCAAGTATAAACATTACAGTATGAGTCCAAAACGGAATGAAACATTTGTCCTGAAATCCATCCCTACCTATCCTATAATATATAGTTGATTTGTCACAATTGATTGATCACTGGGTGATGATCAATGTCATAGGTGTCAAGTCCTTCTTAGTGCAGATCGAATGCTATCAGCCAAGTTGCAATGTGGCCACTAGTCTAAGTTACTTGATACTGCGGTCGGTCACGGCCCGGATAGCTCAGTGGTAACGTCTCTGGCTGTGAAGCTGTGTGACATGGGATCGAGTCCGTCAGGGAGCACCAGTTCCCTCAAGATTAAGGGTACACCTTGTTGACGAGTGCCAAGTAGCTCGAAACCAGGGTCCAGGGTTTCCTGTTGACTACCTCCAGCCACCATCTTATAGTTGATTTTTAGCTGAAATCATTATTAAAACATCCACCAAATTAGGAGATATATCTCGACAGAGACTGGATCAAATTGTCTTAAATAATATCGACTAGACATAGTTAAACTAGTTAAACATGTAGTAATAAGTTATTCCTGATTGATTTAAAAATTATAAACAAGTGATTAATCAAAATACCCGCATATTTTCTTGATCAAATATAGTATAGTATGCTTCGAGAAATACTGAACCCAATATTGTATTTCTATGAGTTGGTTGTATAGCAAAAGCAAAACAATCTCTACTTTGGTTATTTTGGTTTATTCGACCAAGATACCTAACATATTGCTGAAATTTAAAAAAAAAGAAGCATGCATATCATGAATGTGCAAGCTAAAAATGATACAAAATATGAAGTAAAATTAGGTCTACAATCTAATTGGATTTAGTTTCATTATATGGAGATTCTATTTGATTTATTATTTCAATTTATGCATTGATTAGAGAGTTGGATGGAGAATGCTCGTGAGCGGCCTATACTCCTTCACGAGGAGTAACAGGTGTAAGTAAGTAATTAACTGATTGGAGAGTACTATCATTAACATCAATGATTCTATTCTTTTGTTACGTAAGTGAAAATTTTTGTTTATCTATGTACATAGAATACATGGAATAGTGACTTAAAATACTTAGATTCTTTTCTTAGTTCTATATCGTTTATAACTGATTGATTTTAATTGAATAGTTGTGTTTAATTACTTCTCTTTATTAAATAGTCATTGATAGTTGTTTAAAGTTTTATGAAAAAGTTATGAAGCGAATAAAATTAACAGGAAATAGATTAGATATGCCCCCAAATACCCTAGTACAGCCGAGGGTGAGGAGAGTCGGCTCTCCATCTCGAAATGCTCTCACATGGCCACGTGCATACAACCACTACCAGGGAAGTCCTACTCATTGTCTTCTCGTGGCATTACTGTTGTTTACGAAAATGGGAGGACGAAAGGCGAATATCCGGCCCTCTAACTGAGTTGACGGATACAGAGGGTCCACCTAGGGGAGTTGGAAAACCCTGATTCTAAACCAATGGTGCACATTGGCTCCAGTATCCTGAGGGAACAAATGACGTATGAACCCGATCGCTGGTCACAGCTACCATGGAACTGCATCTCCTAACGTTTCTCCACTGCCTTGTGGACCAGACCTTTAGGTCAAAGGCTCCGGGTGTGGCCCCCTAAGAAACCCACCTGCTTCGGTCTAGGCATTCGGACAGTATCACAGCCCATACACAAATCAAGTGACTAGTGTGGTGCATATTTATTCGGTGCCTCTTTGTACCAATATTTATGTGTTCAAATAAATAAATGGATAAGCTATTATGACTTAAGAGAAAGTGAATTATACATATAAAGGAAATGAAGTTGAAAGAAATTAATGTTTATTCTTAAATGCCTATTCTTTATATATATTTTTTATTGGTTATATAAGTAAATTTGCAAAGTCCTATAACATAAGAATATGTTTATGTTCTTAATAAACTGATCTATTATTTATAATGAACATAAGTTAATCAACAACTATTTTGTTGCATAAAGGAAGTTATAACAATCATAGGTTTAAGGTCAAAAAGAACGAATCAACATCGAGGTGTACAGGAGAAGCTGTGAACCACATGTGGAGAAATCCAAACACTTCACTTCTACCTGAATTTTGTGCAGATGATGTCGTTCAAAAGAACGATGAAAGCTGCACGACAAAACCATCCAACTTAAAACCTCAACATTATGGAATGTAGACTTTTGTTAGTCAATTACGTATCACAAGAAGAAGAATAATGATCCATAACACTAAATACATATTACTAAATTCTTTGTTAGAGTAAACTTTGCCATTTGAATAGTGTGAGGATGGCTCACAGATGAACTCGAGGAAGCTCTAAAAAGCTCAAAAAGAGATGAAGACAGTTCACCCATTCATCTTTTCAAAGAATATTCCAAAATCTCTATGTGTAGCTTCCCTATTGGACAAATGCTAAAAACCACTGTATGCCGATTGAATGACTATAATGATGACTTTGCTTTTACTAAAATCTATAAGTACCTAAGAATTTCGTACCATATTTGATACTATTTGAAATAACATTCTTTTTCACTTATTTTCTGTCTTCTCATTTTACGAGTTGGTGGTGTAGCGGTAAATAAATCCCCAAAATAAATAGCTCTGTAAGTTTTCGACATTGGATGCTGGCCTGATTAGTTTTAGTGGACTCACCTAGCTGAAGGCGGTCGGTCATGCATCCGCATCAGATCACGTGTGGGAACGCCGTGCTCAACATCTACTGCAGTCGCTAGTCAGACTAGATCAAACAATTCCGATGTATTGGCAATCGTTAAATACAACTTCTAGTCTCCTTGATTCTGTCTTTTGATTTCTCTTGGTGGGTACGAGTTATATTAGGTGTTACTGGTAAAAGCGTTGTCAAACACTGAATACCTGTGCCATCTTCAGTGGGCTCTAGCATTCGATTACTCAGGTAGTGCACGGTATATAAAAAATCTAAGCTCTAAGTATAACAAACAAGTTCACCAAACAACTCAAATATACAACTAATCATAAAAGTACAATAAGCGAGACTATAATTTATGGACGAACCACTACTTAGTGGAGTACCTCAATGTTCTGTCCTAGGTCCTTTACTTCTTATACTGTATGTAAATGATCTCCCAAGTATAGTACAGTCCCCAATGTTATTATACGCTGACGATGTAAAAATCTGGCAAGTAATAACGGGAAACGCAGATGCATGCTCACTTCAGGCAAACTTAAATAATGTGATTAACTGGTCCAAAGAGTGGTTGATACTTATCAACGCGGCAAAGTGTGTCTACATGAACTTTGGAGATACAAAGGTTAATAGGTACAGCGTACAGGAAGTGCTATTACCCGTGGTCCAGTCTCATAATTATCTTGGGGTGATAGTGAGTCATGATCTTATGACGATGGCCCATTGCCGGGAGGTTGCAGCTAAGGGGTTTCGAACTCTCTGAGCTTTAAAACGGCCACTCACTAAGTTAGATACAACCATGTTCACTACAGTATACACAACCTTAGTGAGAACTAAGCTTGAGAAATGTCTTCAGGCTGCAAGCCCCTGTTTAGAAGGTGACTCGGATATCCTAGAAAAAGTACAGAGGGCAGCTACCCGTGCAATTCCAGAACTCCGGGATTTACCTTACAAAGAACAACTTGAAAGGTTAAACGTCTTTACTCTGTCCTATCGCGGAATCCTGTTACTCGAAGCAGTGGTGTCCGCACTTTCAAGTGACTCATTCAAGAGAAGACCGGACACTAATAGAAGCATACTAGGAAAGGTCCTACGCCTTCTGTTCTTATTACACAAATCTGAAATCTGAATCAAATATAAGACAAGAGGTCTCGAATTTCGTCACAAAGTTCACTCATTCATTCAGATAAATAGAGTATCGGCAATGTAGCTGATGTCAGTCGTGATAAACACAAAAACCCTAAATCTCATTTCTAACCATAATCATCAACTGTAAATCATAATTCTAATTTCCCATATAGGTTTATAACCTTCATTTAGTCCTATTTATTAGGTGGACACTCACAAGACCAGTCTGGGATCGCACAAAGGTCATCCATAAATTATAGTCTAATCACATAACATTATTAAAATAATGTAATAAGACGAAGATTATCATAACTATGTGATGATATATATTAGTGCAATACATTTCGAACAATCTGATCACACATGATATGATTGTTAAGACCATTTATATATAAAAATAAAAGGTCAACTAGACTGTAAATGAAGGGTAAGAGGAGATAAGGATAATAAAGAAATAATGTGAACACAATTTGAAACCTAATCACTCTAGATAATTAGCCAATATTACCAGGGTATGTTTAAGGTGAGAACAAACCGTTTTTAAATACACAAAGGGGGTTTGAATTTTCGTATGGCTAAAGCTTCAATAAACCTTAGTATACGCCCTTTTGCACTTGTGTACACTACAAAGATCAATCTTATAGCCTATTTCGATTATATGTTTAGCAATAGAGGATGATGGATGTTTATCCTCTGCTCTTATTGGGTCACTTGATTGTATTTGTTTCTGCAACCCTTTTGGCACATGTTCACACAACCTATGTATATGTGACCACACACACATTTAAATTGGTAAACACAGTGGGATGTGACACATTCATTTTCATATCTTTTAGGTTTTGGATGAAGCATGCACATTGTTCTTTCTCTGATGATAACCTTTGCTACGCAATACGTTTTGTTGATGACTGATTTAAACCTTTGTTTCAATAAAAGGCTATTTAAATCACCTATGAATATTAAGGTGGTGTAGACAGACATTTTTTTCTACCAAGGCTACAATAGGTTTCACTATACCATGGACTTTTCATCTATTTATGAATTTCAGAGGATAGCCATTTTCCATTAATATTTTATTTAGCAACTTAACATCATCATCAATGGCATCATTTGTACAAATACGATCAAGCCCGCTGAATAGGCATCTTATCAAATCACATTTGTATTACTCCTGGAGTTCTAGTGAGAAGTCGTTACCAGTGGAGTTCAACCAGATCTGTTGTGAGATAGGAACTCACTAAAGACAATGGTGTACAGTGGCGCAACTTCGTGGATTGGTTGAACTTAGGCATTAACACTGTTCATGATTTCAACTTGTGAAATAACTATTATAACTAAGGTATTGACCTGTCCACGTTGATTTTCTAAAAATAGATCGTTTGTCTCCTCTTACCCCAATTCCAGTCTAGTTGACCTTATATATATAATATCAGATGGGTTTTTGTGGAGATTGTAGTAATTTCAATGGTTAAGATCATGAGTCAGTTGAAGCTAGACCACTATGGAAAACCTGGAAGCACTGGACGGCCGTTTCGTCCTATTGTGGGACTCCTCAGCAGTGCGCATCCACGACCTCGCCCTCTGCGAGATTCGAACCCAGGACCTACTGGTTTCGCGCCCGAGCATTTAACCACTAGACCACTGAGCCGGCATCCAACGGTGTTAATGTCTAACTTCAACTAATCCACGAAATTGAGCGACACATTCACGATTGTCTTCAGTGAGTTACTACCTCACAACAGACCTGGTTGAACTCCACTGGTCACTACTTCTCACTATATATATATATATAAAATAAATTAAATTTACCTGAGGTGATAGTAGTAAAGATACTACTTGATTATTTATATTTATACTTGATATTAATTGAAATTCAATCATTGGAAATAATTGATAAAATTTTTGTAATATTTCATTATTATGATCACCATTATGATTACCATTATGATTAGTATTATGATTATGATTGTTATTATTATGGATAGGTAAACAATAAGCATTGTTACCAAGCCAAAATAATTTCTTATTCATTATATTTATATAATTTTTATTAGTGATTATATATTTCATGAATAGAATATTAATGAATTGTTGAAAAATTTTCATTGGTAAATAAATATTCGTTGTTCCACTATCAATAATTGTTTTATGTAAATTTAACTAAATAAAATAAATTAAATAATAATAATAATAATTAATATTATTATGATAACATGAAACAATGAAAAAGAAATTACGTCCACAACATGTCTATTTATGTTTATATTTTGAAAATGATCAGAAACGGCAGTTTTGTGCAATCTCATGGGACGCGAAATCCTGGATGCGTACTGCTGAGGAGTCGCACACTAGGACGAAACGGTCATTTAATGCTTCCATGTTTTCCATGATGGTCTAGTTTCAATTCACTCATGAATTCAACTATTAAAATTATTTCAATAGCTGAAATAATGAATCGATTGAAGCTAGACTATCATGGAAAACTTGGAAGTATTGGAAGGCTATTTTGTCATAGTGTAAGACTCCTCAGTAGTACGTATCCACGATCTCAATGGAGGTGGTTACTTCGCCAAAAATCTAATTCTGTCTCATGGTCCACCTAGGCGGTGTGCCTAAAGGACCACCTTCGCTATCCCGTCATTTTCTGTGCTGAGAATTCTATATTGTACCAAAATATAATATTGAATAAAGCCATAAATAATAATAATAAATCTCACCGCTCGAAATTCGAACCTAGGATCTATCAGCCTCACTCGTGAACGCTTAACCTATAGACCACTTAGCCAGCCGGCATCCAACGTGTTATATTCTAGTGAAGATTAAATTACGAGTAACGTCTGAGACTAATTAATAGACTAATATTATTTATATATTCTTATGGTATAACTATTCAGTAATTAGATTGTGTATATTCATCTTATCATAAGATTCATTTTGACCTATAAATTAATATTATACGATTTACTGTTCTTAAATTATGTTTAGTTTATAGACTGCCGTCTCCCACGTTCACAGCCACCTTTTTGGCTTTATTGTGTATAAATGTTTTTTCCTATTTTATGGTGCGTTGCGGTCTGTTTAGTTGATATATAAATCCGGTATGTGTGGACTCAACTAGTCGGGCTAGGCGAGCAAGAGACAAGTAAGGACGCTAGGCTGGTCATACCGGTCGAAAGTCATTGATTTAGCACAGTGTGAAGATCGTATAAGTCGTATTTTGATTAGCGGATAAATCACGTGATAACTAGAGGGCCATAAAGACATAACACAACTACGTTAATGTCTAACTTCAACTAATCCACGAAATTGAGCGACACATCCACCATTGTCTTCAGTGACTTACTATTTCACAGCAGACCCAGTTGGACTCAAGTGGCCACTACTTCTCACTACAACACCAGGATATACCTCTTGAAACCAGTCACTGGTGAGCTTAGCGTTTTTAAATGGTTTGAAGTATTTTTTCTGGTAAGTGTTTTTTTTAGTGAGTTAGTTTTCTACGGGATGGTGCTTTTAACCCCATGCCCAACCGTACTCCTTTATCCGGGCTTGGGATCGACAGTAACCCTAGAAGAGCTATAGGCGGAGTTAGTCACTAGTGAGCATATGACGATTATTATCAGAAAGGGTTTTTTGATGATATTATAGTAATTTTAATAGTTTAATTCATGAGTCAATTGAAACTAGACCACTATGGAAAACCTCAAAGCACTGCAATGACCGTTTCGTTCTACTGTGGGACTATTCAGCAGTGTGCATCCACGATCCCGCCTCGTGAGATTCCAACACAGGATCTATCACTCTCGCACGTGAACGCTTAACTTCTAGACCACTGCGTCAGCCGGCGTCCAACAATGCTAATCTTTAACTTCAACTAATCCACGAAATTGAACCACACATCCACCAGTGTCTTCAGTGAGTTACTATCTGACAACAGACCCGATTGAACTCTACTGATCACTACTTCTCAATAGAACTCCAGGATTTACCTCTCGAAGCCAATCACTAATGAGTATATGCTGAATAATATCAGAAATGAGTTTTTGTGGATATTATAGTAATTTTAATAGTTGAGTTCATCAGTCAATTGAAAAGAATATTTTATTTTCAAGTTATAAACTATGATTAATGAATCTCACTTATATTAACTAGTCATCAACAATCATCACAAGTATTTATGGACTGGTTGGCGTTTTTTTTCTTCTTTTTTTAGCAAGGTTGTTTTTTACAGGATGGGGTTGTTGACCCCATGCCTAACCCTCCTCCTTTACCGGGGCTTTCGATCAGTAATGACCCTAGAAGAGCTACAGATATACTTAAGTATTTAGGGAGCTTTATCAACAACTTCATAGAATGTTAACTCTATATTTTTACGGTATTGTTCTCATTGTGAAACCAAAAATATTTGTATTTGTTGTCACATAAAAAAATAAAGATGAATACGGTTATGAAATTCTAGAATTGAATAAAACACTTATCTACTGTACTCTGGTTTACACTATTTCTCTAGTTGATGTCAATCAGTGATGAAATTTCACTTCAATTTAGAAAATGGGTAGTACTATAAATATTTTAACTCTCAATTATATAAGTGAACAATAAGAACATTTTACTAAATTCTCTGTAACTAGGTGACGTTAAATTCAATTCAGTACTAATATCAATTCAATATAATCAAACAGTTTCAATACAACCAATAATATAATAATACTTTGACGAAAAGAATATTAAACCAAAGATTTTTCAACATTGACTTTCGGTAGAACAAATTGATCAGCCATGTCTATAGAAGCATTCTCCAGAGATTTTTCGGTGAGACTATAATTTAGGGATGACCTTTGAGTGACGTCAAACTGACCTTGAGAATGTCGACCTAATAACTAGGGCTAAATGAAGGTTCTAAAGAAGTTTGATAAATAAGGATTATGATTTGCAGCTGATGGTTTGGATTAGGTATTTGATTCATGGTTTTCATCACGAACTGACATCAGCTAAAATGCCAAAACGCTATTTAGACAAATGGGTGAATGAATTTCACACCAAAATCCAAGATCTGTTATCCTAAATCTGAATGGTTCGTTCATAAATTATAGTCTCGCCATTGTTAGTTCTTTTAACCCTTTTTGCTCTTCAAATACAAGAAATTTATTGAAAATAAACATGAAATGTACTACAGAGGTTGGCCCTAGGTCAAGCCCGCATCGATTATACTAGCCTCTGAATAGATCAATTTATTCATTCTTCTGAAGTCATATTATTACCCTGTCACTTATTCGGTTATCAACCTTGACTGTTTTTATTTAAGCATATCCGTATGCACTTCTTTTCTTACTGATCATATGTTTGTAACTTATTTTTAGTCTGACTAGAAATATCCAGTTTTTACTTCTCTTTCCGATTAACAATTGTTTGAAATAGACGTATTCAGAAATCCATTCTCATATTTGACTGATTAAATTCAGTTATTCACTAATGCAATCCAAGTCGATAATTATATACGAGAGTAGCCAGGATGTATATTTTGACAGCAATCATTCGATAACGATCATCCGTCTGATCTAACTAGAGTTAAATGTAGGGTCAGTAAAGTACCATAGAAAAGTTTGTTATTCATTTTCATGTTTATGATTATTATAGTTGAGAAACCAAGTTCATTGACTATAAGATTTAGTATCCTTATGATGCAATTGTAACGGTGGAGAAGATTTGTAGCTCAGGTGGATGATTTTGGTAGAGTTTTGTTCTCTGAGCTGGATGGTTTGGTCGTGGAGCTTTCATCGTTCTTCTGAACGACATCATCAGCACAAACTTCAGATTGTAACCAAATACATATTCGTACACTTTGATTTCAGTGATATATTTATATTATAGTGGTTACCAGTAACAAAGTACATGTGATAATATAATCATAAACAAAATTCTTTAACAACCAGTTCATTATATCGTTTGTGTAAACTATGGATTTCAATTAAGCATATCTAAGTTATTATGAATTATTTCATTGAAAACATGAACTTGAATTTACCTCTTTACAATTGTCTACTATACTATATTCATTAATCAAAAGATTGGTCAGAATTATTTCATAATACCATGCTTTTCGAATAGGTGTGTAATAAACTGTTGATAGGTTAAAGCTTGGAATTCTCGGTGATGACATATTACTAGTAATATAAGTAAACGGCCAGAGGAGATTTAAATCTGTTCGACCAATGATTAGTTTGCCTGACATCTTTCGTGAATTCATATCTGGATCGTTGAACTACACGTAAGAAAGAAAAAACATATTAAAATATATTTAGTAATGTAAGTTAGTTGGTAGAATTTGATCAAAACCAAGAACTAAGCCAATATCACACTGGTTACTACACATTAATCACTCAGCGTATAAATCACTTTTCTACTTAAAGTTTGTTGCAACATGAATGATTGAGTGGTTAGGTTTCTGAATATGATAATGAATGATTTTGATTCAGTCTAAACATGAAGTATACACTCCTTCAATATTTCAAATACTATAACACGAATCTTTAATCAAGCAAGTCTTCGCGTTGGTTACGTGCAACTGCCTAAAGTATCTAGTTATTAAGGTGTCAAATCACATAACTTAAACGTTTGAAACTTTTTGTTAGCTTCAGACAATCAACAATATAACTACATCGAATACATTGTACAGGTACCTGTGTAATTCTGATCATAAAAATTGAATTTTTTGAACTAAATCGATCAAAAGGTCTGTATCTAATATTGTTGTAAGTTGGGCTAAATTGTTACAAATAGTGTATAGAAACCCTAATTCTTTATATAAATATCCTGTGAATGATCAAAAAGCCACAGATATAAAATATATGACAAGCCCTTTCAGTCATGTACACACGTAAACTATAGTACTATGACCAGATAAAAAAAAGTGTTTCAAACAAATGTCATCACAATAACATTGATCATATACTATAGTCTAGGCATTTAATCAGCTATTAACCTACCTCTGTGTATAAATGAATGAGTGTCTATTATTTATTCTTATCTATCTGTCTCCTTATAGATCAAAGTCGGTTAAAAACTTGTACATATGATTATATTCAAACAACCTTCTTCATACTCTTTTGCTTTAAGACAATTTAAAATACTTCCTGATCATGATGGAGTTTTGTTCTCTGAGCTGGATGGTTTGATCGTGGAGCTTTCATCGTTCTTCTGAACGACATCGTCAGCACAAACTTCAGATAGAAGTGAAGTGTTCGAATTTCTCCACGATCAAACCATCCAGCTCAGAGAACAAAACTCCATCAAAATCATCCACCTGAGCTACAAATTTCCACTTTCTGATCAACTAGAATCTGTTTAATTCAAGTAGATATGTTGACTACATTTGTTATCTAATCTGATAAGCACATAAATTGTTAGTAATTTCCAGATCTGAATAATTATTGAAATATAGATTTTACTTATATCATTGAGTTTACACACATGTTAGGAGGTGAAGAGTCTAGGTGTATTCAGTTTTTCAAGTAGTTAACACATCTGTTTGACAAAGTAACTAATTAATTTAAGATTATGGCGAGACTATAATTTATGGATGAACTAATCACGTATAAGATAACAGGTCTTGGATTTTGGCGCGAAATTCAATCATCCATTTGGCTAAATAGAGTCCTGACATTATAAGTGATGTCAGTTCGTCATGAAAACCCTAAATCTAATTCTTAACCTTGACCATCAACTGTAAATCATAATTCGAATTCCTCACATTAATTTATAACCTTCATTTAGTCCTAGTTATCAGGTAGACACTCACAAGATCAGTCTTGCATCGTTCAAAGGTCATCCATAAATTATAGTCTCACAGTAAATACTTCACAATCACTTGAATGAATAATATCTGTAGTTGTTTAACATGTTTACAAATAAACAATGTTCGAAATGAGTTTTTTTTAATATTAGCAAATCTACTAGTTCACATAGAACACTATATGTACCTAAATAAATTGTTACTCTGGTTGTCAGAAGGGGCATTGGCCTCGTGACTTCCGAAGGAACTCGGCTTTCATCATGAGGCGTCATAACTCTTCTAAATAAAGACCTTCTGACTCCCAGGGCACAGTTTAAAATTTTTGAATAATTTTTTCTGGTTAGCGTTTTTTTAGCGAGTTAGTTTTCTACGGGATGGGGTCGCTAACCCCATGCCCAACCCTCCTCCTTTACCCGGGCTTGGGACGGCAATAGCCCTCGGAGGGACTCCAGGCGGAGCTATAGAACACTATATACGTTTTCTTTTAGAAATATCAATCATAAGTTAACATTTCTTGGCGCTTTTTAAATAGTAGATAAACTAGTTTTAACATCTCAACACATTATCTAACTAATTAGTTGATCTGTATTTTAAAATAAGTTTAAGCACGCAATGTATGATCTACAAAATTTGTACTTTAATTATCCCCAAAATTGCTTTGAATCATGATAAACAAACTCTAAGTTTAAATTCATTTTGTATTATTGATTTGAATCTTCCCATTGATATTTAGGACTGCAATTAATCAGTCTCTTATTGCCATATGTGCATCCTGTATGGATTTCGTCGATATTACCTTAAATCACAAGCATTCTAAGTAAAGATAGATGGTACATCCAGCTGACGAATCTTAAAAAGGACGAAACATGCCTCCCAGATTTCACTGCTAGCCACCATCCATCTTTTGTTTACATTGTAATTTTGTTTTCTTCACTAGTGTTTATTCATTTGGGATCATTTTAATGACAGGTTGAATGTTGTGAGTTACTTTTATTCGATTGTACTTTATATGAACTTAAGAAGTCGTTTGTAAATTCATTACTTACTTACGCCTGTTACTCCCAATGGGGCATAGGCCGCCGACCAGCATTCTCCAACCCACTCTGTCCTGGGCCTTCTTTTCTAGTTCCATCCAATTCTTGTTCATTTTTCTCATGTCTATCTCCATTTCCCGGCGTATTGTGCTCATTGGTCTACCTCTTTTCCTTTGACCTTGAGGATTACATGTGAGGGCTTGTCTTGTGACGCAGTTGGGTGCTTTCCTCAATGTGTGTCCTATCCACTTCCAGCGCTTCTTCCTGATTTCTTCCTCCACTGGGATCTGGTTTGTTCTCTCCCATAGTAGGTTGTTGAAAATAGTGTCCGGCCAACGGATCCGAAGTAATTTGCGTAGACAACTGTTAATAAACACTTGTATGTTCTGGATGATGGCTTTCGTAGTTGTTCAGGTTTCTGCCCCATACAGTAGAACTGTCTTGACATTTGTATTGAAAATCCTGACCTTGGTGTTGGTTGATAGTTGCTTTGAGTTGCAGATGTTCCTCAGTTGTAAATATGCTATTCTCGCTTTACCGATCCGCGCCTTCACATCTGCATCAGATCCACCCTGTTCATCAATGATACTGCCCAAATATATAAACGTTTTTACATTTTCCAAATCTTCTCCGTCAATTTTGATTGGATTGATGCATGCTGTGTTGTATCGGAGAATCCTGCTTTTCCCTTTGTGTATATTGAGACCTACTGCTTCTGAGGCTGCTGCCACACTGTTCGTCTTCCCCTGCATTTGTTGTTGCTTTTGGGATAGAAGTTGTAAATTCATACAAATATTGAAAATTTTTGAGCTATAAAGCTTGAACACTATTTATATGTAGATTACTTATGAATGATTTATAATTCCAAATTAGAATTTAAGTGACGAAATTTCAGTTAACAGATTATTTTCATGTAATAACTGGTGTCAGCCACATTCCCAATAAAATGCTGGGAGCATTAGATCGACTGTATGTTTTACTTTGAAGTTCAAATATTTTAGTTTCTCTTTACTTCAAAATCTATTAGTTGGGAACATGTTGCTTAGCTTAACTTCGTTGATCAATCACCTTGGTAAGTGTTAATATATAAATCTCTAACAATACTTGAATTCAGAAGGCAATAAAGAGAGGTTATTACAATTTATCAGTGGGTAGCATATAACAAAGTTATAAGCACATTTAGTGAATTTGAAGCAGAGATATGAATTTGTGTGTGTGAACAAATACAGAGACAAATTTATAGTCAAGTCGAATAAAGGCGCATTAAGGAAAGGTAAAGGCAAATAATAGGATTTGAGCACTTATATATCCATGGTAAAGAGAATCACTCATCGAGCAATATTCAAGCTATCAACATTTAAGTCAGACTGATACGTACGTAGCCTATCACATGTGATCAAGTGTATAAGCTTATAAAGACATGATACTGATCATAACAGTACAAAGAAATATGCGAATTGTTACTGTCCAAATAACATTGTCATTAAATAAGTTAATAAAAAGGGTTTGACAAAAGCCAACCCTAATCGTAATCGATTGTAGGAAAGTTACTATCATTCGATGATACCTTAAACTCAAACTGATCTTTAAACCCTTTTGAGTAAATAAAAAAAAAACAAAGACAAAAATTCAATAAATCAATAATTTACCATAGTAGTTCCACATAATAATAATCCAAATTGTTTATGAATATTCCATATAGAATTTAATTGATCTAAATAAGTGAATTGATTTTTATTATTTATAATTTGATTCATAAATTGATTTTTCCAATCAATCAATAAATTGATTTGATCATTCTTATGATGTTTTATTGATTTTGGTTTAATATAAATTGAATTAAATCCTAATCCAATAATTCCATACCATGTAATATTAGTATGTGATAGAAATACTTTAGTTGAATTAAAAATTAAACTAAATGACATATGAATTCTATTATTATTATTATTATTATTCATTGGATAACGATTGATCATTGTTGTATCTAAGATGAAATAAAGAAATGAATGTGAATGAAAAGTTAGTCTATGATAAGTGTAATAAAAAAATAAAAAAAGTTTTGTTTTTAGTTCTTGATTGAGATCTGAAAGTACTGGATGGTGTTTTCGTCTTAGTATGAAATTCCTTAGCAGTGCACATTCACCTAGGATCTTTGGTCTGACGCGAGAATTATTTATTTATTTATTTGAACATATAAATATTGGTACAAGAGGGCACCAAATATATATGCGCCACACCAGATTTGTGTGGGCTGTGATACTACCCGGGTGCCCAGACCGAAATAGGTGGTTTACTTAGGGGGTCACACTCCAAGTCTTTGACCTAAAGGTCTGACCCACAAGACAGTGGAGCATCGTAAGGAGATGCAGTTCCATGGTAGCCGATGACCAAGAAATTGGTTCATATACCATTTGTTCCCTCAGTATACTGTAGCCCATATGCATCATTGGTTTGGGATCCAGTTAAAGCGCCGGACATTCGCTTCGCTTTTCGTCGTCTCATTTTCGTAAACAACAGTAGTGCCACGAGAAAGCAGCGAGCAGGACTTCCCTGGCAGAGGTTGTATACGCATGGCCGTGTGGGAGCATTTCGAGAGGGAGGGCGGACCCACCCCACTCTCGGCCATACCAGGGCATTTGGGGGCAGGCGCGAGAATGCTTAACTTCTAGACCACAGAGTCGGTATCTAATGGCAATAATGTCTAACTTCAACTAATCCATGAAATTACACGACCATCTTCCCTTATCTGAGGTAGATATGGGTTAGCTGCATGAACATTTTACAATAATTTAAAGAGGATGAATGATTTTCAAAAAAAAGATAGAATTGTGAAATTTAATACTAAACAGCATATAATTCACTATTACCTTATAGCCATTAAATTATTATATGATATGATGAAGCGTAATCTAATGAAAGATATACTCATAAATTTTTATTTCATTGTCAAGGTAACAGCTGCACATAATCTGAAACTAGGCATATGAGTGTAGATACAGTTTTAAAGATAGCTATGATTATTATCTTTTTGATTAATTTAATACTTTTGAATTATGCTTTGTAATATATGATATTAGCTGCTACTCGATGACATAGTAGGATATGTCAGTTTTAAATAAGGCCATTTAATGCCTAAATACTTCAGTAACAGTATCTCTCCAACATTAATTAAAAGTATTGTTATTCTCATGACTGAAAATACATTTTGCTGACCAGTACCAACTAGCAATAACATTAGGTCACTCGAAGTTTTCCGGTGATTGTCTCTAACCGTTTAACACTGAAGCAAAGTCCACCCCATGACATACAATATAGTGTTTCTACGGTAATAAATAGTTGGAGGAGATTGGTATAAAGCCTTCTTTGATCTAATATGAGTGCTAATTGCGACTCATCAGAAACACATGTTTGAAATATTAATGAAACTGTTGCGTCTCGTTGAATAGAAACTCATGTAATCCAATGTCACATTCTGAGATATTACAGTCAAAGTATTCGATGGTCACATCTCTGAATATTGATTTCTATTTAAGATTTCAGGAACGAATAGTTTAATTTCTAATAACGAATTCCGCTAATTATTGTTCTTTCAAAATCTACGCGATTTTGACACAAAAAAGTTATACATGAATATTTCAACAGATTTGGTTTAAATCATACGATAATAAACGATTTTGATATAACATTATGGGGGTCATTAAAGGATAACCGTGTTACTCATAAAACAACTGTATGAAGTTGAAGCGCTTGCTTCCAAATGACTATCTAATATACGTTATATGTCGGCAAATTGCAAGTTTGTCTAAATATTTTAGGTTAAAAATGTTCAAATGTCAACAAAAGAATATGGTGGTATAGAAGTAGGTTGGAAGAAAGCTAGGGGCGGCCAGAACAAAATATGGCATAAATTCATGAAGTCACTGACAAGTGAACTGAACCATGTTGGTAGGTGTAGACTACCTGGTTGCAATTCACGAGATGATAGTAACCGATGGTCAGAGACCCTGAATGACATGGCTCAAAATCGTTTGCAATGGCGCAAGTACATCCACTCTTTGTGTTCTCCCAAATTCTAATCTTCTGAATTCTTCATGTTCCTTTCTTTTTTCTTTTTCCAAACTTATTCCACTGGATTATATTCCTTGAATAATATCTTCAAACCCTATTGTTTCCGATTATTGCCTATACTTTTACTACCTCTACTACTACGTGATTTGAATCGACAATTATATATCTGTGTGCTAATGTGTTATGGCAACTTGAACTGATGTACATACGTGCAAATTTCTACGTTGTTGCTGACTGATTGAAAGTATTAGCTCAATATACATTAACAGTATTACTTGTAAATTTTTAGAAAAAAAATCATTTGCATACCTTGTCTATTTGTAAAATCAAATTCATCTTGACAATAAACACCAGACCAATAACCTTTCAAATAATGTACATGTTGAATTAAATGGTCACTACATCTTAATGTAGATGATTTGGTAGATTCGAACCAATTGTCAACATTTGTTAAATTTCTACCAGCAATTGCTAAGTTACTACTACCAGTATCAACAAGTAAGTGTATCTGCAAAAAATAAATAAAACTGATAACAGTTCAGAAATCAATATATATATATTATTGTCAACGATATTAATTTACCGTCAAAAGAATCGTCTAGGATGCATACAATAGGCTAACTAGGTGGTTAACAATAAATTTAGAAATGACTATTTTAATCAATTGACATCAGAACCAGAATCATCGAATTGAATCCTTGAATACTCAGTTAACGTGTTATAATATCAACCATCTGAATTTTGAAGCATAAGCCATTGTATAATATGCTGATTAAAGTGAAACACGAATCTTTTAAGTTTGACCTTATATAGGCTTTTAGTCAGTCACTGATAAGGAGTTTCGAACTTGGGATTAAACTCTTTCTAGTATATTTTATTGCCAATGATTCCCCAGTTGATGTTAGTACATGAGAATAATAGAGAGTAGTCTGTTGGGAAAACAGACCAGTATTGCATCATGAAAAAAGCAATCTAGTATTAGAAAGAACTTTCTAACTAGTCTCAGTTGTAATGAAAAATGGTAAAATGAAAACAATTTTTAGACGAGAAGTATGAGAGTTCACTGCATTAGTCAAATGATAATAATGACTTCCTACTAAATACTACAATTTTTAATGAAATTAAAAGCAAAATAATACAATGGAATGAATATGTCACACATAAATAGGGAGTAAGAGTTAGATTGTTTCATTGTTAAAGCCTCCATCCTACACACATTTTTAATCCAGACTTGGTATGTTGAAGCGATTACGAGTTCACTTAGTCTGTGAATAGAACAAAGATTTGTGACCAAAGACCAATAAATTAGCTATTCTATTGCGTCCCAGCCCCGCAAACTAGAGACAGAAGTCGAAGTTCGAACAGGGAAGTATACTCCGCAAAACGCAAGAACCACGAGCGATAAAAACAGACACAAATCAAAATGTATATATACAGCACAAAACCGTCCTTGGGAAGCATTACGAAATAGCATACTAAAAGACATAATGGACCAGTAGCGTTTAAGATTACCCCAAGTCGGAAATATGACATGAAGGTTTGAAGAGCTCTTTTGGCGCGAAAACAAAGAAATTCAAAAGTTCAGAATAAAATTATAGAATTAAGACCTATTCCAAGTGAGTTCTGGGGATCTAACGTCCCCAACAATACTCCATCTATAAGCAATCGTTCCCCCTAGTAGGTAGTTTTCAAAGATAATTCTAGTTCATTCTCATGAGATGTTAAGGAAAGGATTTATTAATTAACTTGCATTTTCTACTTTTCATGACCAGCTAAAGTAGTACTCACTGACATACATAGAAAGAGCATGGATTTCGAAACTAATGAAATCTCTATCAATACCCATTCACTAATAATTTTAGCGATCAAGCATTCTAAAGAACTAGTCCATCTTTAACATGGTAAGGAATCAGATGTCAGTATATGGTTGTGGAGATTATTAAGTTGTTAAACCCTGGGCTCTAGCCCTGCGAAAGGGTTCGTGGATGCGCGCTGCTGAGGAGTCCCACAATAGGACGAAATGGCCGTCCAGTGCTTCCGGGTTTTCAAAGTTGGTCTAACATCAATCGGTTCATGAATCAAATGTTAACTGGTAAAGATAATCTGAAGCTAAATAGAATAAAATTTATTTCTCATAGTTCTTGATAATCAATATACCCTAACTGATGCCATTCTATGAAGAAAGCTTCTTATTATTCTAAACAATCAGCATTTTATAATGAAAAAAAATTGTATGTATATATGAATTTGATACCATTGGTCTATAGGAATGTGAACATTCTAACTGAATAATTGGATATCAAGATATAGAACAAACATTCAACAAAATGACAGTAGTTTCATAGAGTAAGTTTGATACATTGATAAACTAAAACATTCTAAACAGGAACAATTATAAGCAAAGATAGATAGTGGCTAGCAGTGGAATGTATGACTCGCGTTTCGTCCTATTTGGTACTCATTAGCTGAATCAATATCAACTCTGCGATTCAAGTACATCCAGCTTCCCAAATAACCATGGGAAGATACAAGTAAAACAACACCAAGTAAATTCAAACATCACCACATTGCACAAGCAAGTGGCTATCAGGACTCAGTAGCTAAGTGGATAACGCGATGATGTTTGAAGCGGACGGTAATCGGTTCAAGTCCCAAAGTGAAGGTCAACTCTGTGATGCAGATACATCCAGCTGGCGAGTCCCAAGTAAGACTAAACGCTCGTCCTGGATTCCACTGTTAGCCACTATCCATCTTTGCTTAAAAAGCTTGTGAGTTAAGACTATATCAAGGCAATACGCACAGGATGCATATATGCTAACATGAGACTGACCAATTGCAGTCCTAAATAACAATGGGAAGATACAAGTAAAGCAACACCAAGTGAATCTAGAAACAATTATATATACGAATATTCGTCAATATTACAACGAATAGTTTAATAAAAAATTGGGCGTTAACTATAGAAAAGTCATTATATGTAAAATATTATATTTGAAATGATCTCAGTGATTGAAATTTAAAAGAATTCCAATGTTTCGTCCAGCAAACTTGTCTGAACTTCTTCAGGGTGATAATTGAAATCATCAAAGAAATATATAACGTTTAACAATCAAATCAAATCAATATTGTGCTAATCCAATCGTATTTAAATGTTCACCTTAGTAAATAGAATCGTGAACATTTCACATGATTCGTATTTAACTGGCTCATGTTATTCGATTTACTAGAATCAACATTCAAATATGTCTGGATTAGCACAGTATAGATTTGGTGTGATTTAATTATTAAAATGCTATATCATCATTCTTTGATGATTTTGATTTCGATTATTATTATCCTGAAGAAGTTCAGACAAGTTTGCTGGACGAAACATTTGAATTATATTTAAATTTCAATTACTGAGATTATTTCAAATGTAATTTTTCACTTACATAAGAAACCATTATAATCATACATTATTGATAATAACATAATTTAATTGAGAGGTTATTCATTAACCTATAGAATTAAGATTTAATTATCAGGCTTTTAATTATTTTTTAATAGTTAAGATCATGAGTCAATTGAAGCTATACCACAATAGAAAACCTGAAAGCATTGGAAGGCCGTTTCATCCTACTGTGGGACTCCTCACTAATGAGTCTTTAAGAGGCATTTCCTGAAGTTCTAGTGAGAAGCAGTGGCCAGTAAAGTTCAACCGGGTCTGTTGTGAGATAGTAACTCACTGAAAACAATGATGGGTGTGTTACTCAATTTCGTGGATTGATTGAAGTTAGACATTAACACCACTGGATGCCAGCTAAGTGGTCTATAAGCTAAGTGCTTGCGCGCGAGAGTGATAGGTCCTGGGTTAGAATCTCATGAGGCAGGATTGTGGATGCGCACTATTGAAAAGTCTCACAATGGGACGAAATGGCTGTCCAGTCCTTCCAGATTTCCCATAGTAGTCTAGTTTCAATTAACTCATGATCTCAACTATTAAAAAATTACTATAATATCCATAAAACCCTTTTTTGATTTTAATTAATTTATATTATAAAAATTGATGATTATAATATAACTTACTTTTGATGGAGTTTTGTTCTCTGAGCTGGATGGTTTGGTCGTGGACCTTTCATCGTTCTTCTGAATAACATCATCAGCACAAACTTGAAATAGAAGTCTTCATGGAGAAAATATAGTTGTTCTCGAGTAGAAGCCTGCCTTTTAACGAAATTCTCCCATTTTCGAACAACGAGAAGCGTATTACGCTCATACGATTTTGAGACGATGAAGTTTGTGCTGATGATATCGTTCAGAAGAGCGATGAAAGCTCCACGACCAAACCATCCAGCTCAGAGAACAAAACTCCATTAAAATCATCTACCTGAACTACAAATCTTCTCCATCATCTCAATATAACTTACTTTTTGATTTGGTTTACCAATATAAACTGTCATATAATATCCTTGTCCAGGTATACCAGAAAGATTATAAACAATAAATGGAGATGATGACGTAGAAGAAGAAGAAGAAGAAGAAGAAGAAGAAGAAGAAGAAGGTAGAAATATAGTTTCAACAATATGATTTAATTCAATTAGTTGATAACATACAATGATGTAATACAATTTGATGATTCGAATTAATCTTAATAGTCCGTTCATTAGTATTGTTATTATTATTATATCTGTTTCTACTGGTTAACTGATCGGTGATCTATGCTCCATTGAGAGTGATAGGCGTGAATAAGTAAGTAAGTAGTTATTATATTCATCATAAAATTGTAGCTTGTTAAATAAATAATCTAAAATTTAGAAAAAAAAAGAGGAAAAAAGAAAAAAAAGAAAACACATTTGACTCTTATGGTACATTTGTGCACTTAAATATACCATTACTTTGAAAGAAAAAGAAAACAAAAAGAAAAGAAGAAAAAAGAAAAAGAATTTAATTCATGCACTTCGTTTTCTTTTTTTGAATTTTCATAAAATAATTTTTTAAAAAGTGTAATCTTATTCAATAATATTACTTAATTTAATGTTCAATAATAGACAGTTCAGAAGCAATGAGACGATTTGAACTTCATAGATGACCTAACTCTTCTATCGCATACACATGAACAAATGCAGATGTAGACAACTCGTGTAGCAGTATAAGCTACTGCATCAATAGGCTTCAACATACACAATGGGAAAACCAAGGTCCTCAAATACAACACGGAGAACAGCAGTTCAATCACACTTCATGGTGAAACTCTGGAAAATGTGGAATCATTCACATACCTGGAAAGCATAATTGATGAACAAGGAGGTTCAGATGCAGAAGTAAAGGCAAGGATTGGCAAAGTAAGGATAGAATTCCTACAGTTGAAGAACATATGGAAATCAAAACAACTTTCAATCAATATCAAAGTCACAATCTTCAATACGAACCTCAAGACAATTCTACCGTACGGAGCTGAAACTTTGAGAACTACTACAACTATCATCAAGAAGGTAAAATCATATATAAATAGTTGTCTACGCAAGATACTCAACATCCATTAACCAGATACCGTCAGCGACAGTCATATGTAGGAGAAAACAAACCAGGTCCCAGTTGAGGAGGAAATTAGGAAAAGATGCTAGAAGTGGATAGGACATAAATCGAGGAAATCACCAAACTGAATCACGAGTCAAGCCCTAACTTGGAATTGTGAAGGGAAGTGGAAAAGAGGAAGGCCGAATAACACATTACGTCGAGAAATAGAAGCAAATATGAAAGGGATGAATAACAACTGAAAAGTGCTATAAATGATTGCCCAGGACGCGGTTGGATGGAGAGTGCTGATGGGTAGCCTATGCTCCTCCACGAGGAGTAACAGGCATAAGTAAGTAAGTATAATGATCAAATAGTTTAATTTACAGTAAATTTCATAAATTAAGATAAAAATTTATTTATTATAATTTCTATACAATGATATTTATAATAGTAAAGAAGATTTATAGCTTAGTTAGATGACTTTGATAAAGTTTTACTTTATTTGAAATTTATGCTGATGATATCGTTTAGAATAATGATGAAAGTTTAATGACCAAATCATTCAGATAGGAGAACAAAACTCTATTAATGATATTTGTCTGAAGTAAAAGTTATTAATTTATATAAGAAAAGTGGTTTGCCTAAATATTTAGGTTACCTATTCCTGACATCTGGATATTTCAACAAGTTATCTGTTTTGTTGTTTGTTTTAACACATCATTATGCCTATTAGTTGCATAACATATTTAGGTGTGTTTGTGAAACGTTTACGACACATTTCGTTGTAAAAGTTCCAAAAGAGACCAATTAGAGACATTGTGATTGGTGTCAATATTCAGTGAAAAGAATGTACATTGTTTAGATGTCTATTCCTGAACTCAGTCAGTCATTTACAACGTAGGACCAGGCACGTATATGCATCGGTCCAAGTTGCCATACCTCAATAACACAGCAAAATGAACATCAAATTCATAGAAAGGTTTTATGTAAGGATATAGTACAGGACAAAAGAATTAGTTGTTAGAAAGAACGATATAAAGCGATTTTGTTCTCATAGTTTAAGGGAAGACAAAGAGTGCATACACCGACTCCATTGTGATCGATTCTGAGCCATGTCACCAAGAGTCTTCAACCATTAGTTACGATAGTCACTTGGACACCAACCAAGTAGTCCCCATCTATCAACATGGCTCCGACTAGAAGTTAATGACTTCCTAAACTGCTAACATTTAATTGACGATCACTCAATTATTTATCGTCAGGATCGATTAAGAAATAAGAAACGGAAACATGTTGAAATACTTTGTGCTGAGAATTCTATATTATACCAGAAATATAATATTGAATAAACCCATTAATAATAATACTATAAAAATTAGGAAGAGTATTGAAATATTCATAAATATTGTTTTTATTTAAAACTGATATAAGCTGAACAATCAGTGAACAGTAGAAATAAGAAAATAGTTATTTTCTTCTTAGTCGGTTAGTATTAACAATCAGAGATATTAAGTTCTTTTAGTGAGTACAGTATTTTAGAATCAGTGAATGAACTCCAGTAATCTTTGCTTCTCAAAAATAATCTTGAAAGTTCATCTTTAAGTTCTTCATAAACATTTCCATTATAGTTGTAGTAACAGGTTATTTGTGGTGGTTTCAAAATATTTAAAAGATGTTTTTCTATAGGACAAATAAAACCACCAGCAGATTGACCACATCAACCAATAAAAAAGTTTATCCATGTGAGTTTGATTCTATGTGGGTGGACGACGTGGGAGTTGGATGGTGGCATTGTGTAAGTAGCACATACAATCACGATGCTACTCATGATTCTCAGTCAGTCATTCAGTCAGCTACAACGTAGGACCAGGCACATCTGTGCATCGGTCCAGGTTGCCATACCGCATCAGCACAACAAGATGAACACCGGATTCATAGCAGTGGTTAGGTCAAAGTTAGTAATATGTAAAAGAAAGATTGCATATAGAGATATAGTACAAGAAGAAAAAATTGGTTCGTAGAAAGAAAGATATGAAGCGATTTTAATCTCTTAGTTTAAGGGAAGACAGGGAGTGTATACAGCGACGCCATTGTGATCGATTCTGAGCCATGTCACCAAGAGTCTCCAACCATTGATTACGATAGTCACGCGGACCCCAACCAAGTAGTCTGCATCTACCAACATGGCTCAGACTAGAAGTTAGTGACTTCAAGCACTGATGCCACGTTTTGGTTTGGCCGCCCCACTCGTGATTCTGGTATTGTTTGAAATATCAAATTTTCGGATTGAACATCACTGGTCGTGTCTGTCAATGTTTGTATGTGGAGAGTGGTTCGAGTGAGTATGTAGAAGTGCCAGCCATCGATCCCGGGCGCTTTTGTATGCTAAGCGAGAGCTTTACCACTGAGATACATTATATGTGGTCACCGTCTGTTCTAGTTATATTAAGAGTTATTTCTAATCACTTTAAATTGGTCTTGATGATGTAAGTTCATTCTTTCTTTGTCTTCTTGTATACTTTGAGTTTAATCTTAATTTTCACACTAAACTTTCGGATTTAATTTGTTATCTGTGCATTTTATGCTATATATCTTGCTTTTAACTGATATTCTAACTTTAACTAATTCACTTTTTCTATATCCATATAAGGTGTAGTAAAATGTTAAAAATTTGTATCAGCTTTTAAAACCTTTATAACCGAATGACAGACGAGTAGATTACTACTTCTGAAAGTCACGTTTCGGAATAGAATATATATGCATATCAATGAGTTGAATAGTTGATTCGATCCATTTCTTCATGAATTGACATTCTCCACAACTTCTTGTAGCAATCAGTATACAAATACAAGTCTATCACTTTTTTGGATAGATAGATATAAAGATGTTAAATAAGTGAATCACTTTTTTTCCGAACAGATATTTTGCTATATCCAATGCATGTACATTTCTTATATGTGCCATTATTATTATTTTAAGTAATTTTGCACTTGTATATAATGTATATTTACTAGATAGATTTATGTGCACTTTACTTTTATATGCTTATCTAATTGCTTGTATTGTACACGTCTATTGTATATCAATATACAGTTAACTTAATAACTCAAGAATTAAATTATTTAAATTCTGCATTAGATGGTGGTTTGAGGTAGCAGACAGGAAACCCTGGACTCGGGTTTCGTGCTACTTGGCACTCGTCAGCCAGGTGTACCCGTAATCTTGAGGGAACTGATGCTACCTGGCGGGTTCGATCTCGTGTCACTCAGCTTCACAGTCAGATACGTCACCACTGAGCTATCCGAGTCTCGACCGACTTCCTGTAGGACTGAGATGTAATCACAATTGATTGATCACTGGGTGGCGATCAGTGTCATGCGTGTCTAGTCCTTATTAGTGCAGATCGAATGCTATCGAATGCTATCAGTTCCCTCAGGATTACAGGTACACCTTACTGACGTGTACCAAGTCGCACGAAACTCGGGTCCAGGGTTTCCTGTCGACTACCTCCAACCACCATCTAATCTCTATATATAATGCCTGCAGTGTCAAGTCACCTAGACTGGTGGCCACATTGCAACATGATCGATAGCATTCGATCTACAATAATAAGGACTAGACACGCATGACAATGATCGCCACCCAGTGATCAATCAATTGTGAAATTCTGCATTATTTACGTTTATAAATACTTTATACACAAAGACGAACATATTAGCCAGGGTACTGACTGTATCACAGATTCTCGCTAATTTGTTCATCTCCGATATAGAATTGAAGATTTTAATTATTTCTATTAGACCGCCCATGAAACACGCTCAAAGAAGAAACTTTTTCTAAACTGATGAATACTTCTTCAGTTCACATAAAATTCACCTTAGAAAATGAGAATAAACTCATTGAACTACCATTTTTAGACTGTTTAGTTAAAAGAAATTAAAATAAATGTCTAAATCTAACCAACCGCAACAAACCGGGCGCAGTTAAATAAACATATTGATTTCAACTAGGTATATCCACTGAATGTAAAAATCTGTTTAGCGCTAAAACATATTCAAAAAAGTGTCAAAGATTAATACATTGGAGAAAGAAAGGCAAAAAGGACAGAAAAATATCATTAGCATCTTACAATTTAGTAACTTCCCCA